GAAGGCTTGTTAAGAACAAGGGTCAAATATATTAACGTCCAACTTGAATAAATATCAACATATTAATTTAGTAACCAGAGCTCCATAGTAACTGGAAAAGTAGTTCCCTCTCATTCTGCCATTAATTCCTTTCCATCAATATATCTTTTAAGAAGTAATTTGAAAATCAATCAGACAAACTCAAGGACAGAAATCAGCTGATCAAGAAATATGAAATAAAAATGAAGGCTGATGAGATGTAAAAGAATATGCATGCACTCCAGAGACAGATAATGTTCAGGTGTCTGTTCAAGTCTGAAGTAGTAGGCTATTTCTAAACTTCTTCACAGAGAAAAGATGAAGATAAATGTGTGGAGATGTTTTTAAAGCTCTTGTCTTCTTTTTTTTATGCTTTATTGCAGCTGGTAAGAGAAAAATATAATTTGGTGATGAGGCAGTATCCACTGTGCTCTTATCACTGCTTACAAGGAAATGGAAAAATAGTTGGTACTGAATACTTTGACAACTGAAACCAGCGCAAGGGCTTGACTTAAGAAAAGTAGGATAGCATAATTCTGCTGAAGGGAGGAAAAAGCATGAAGTCCTAACATACAGAATGTGGTACAAGCAAAGGTGAATCAAGCCCTTTAAAATGATAACCCATGATTCAGTATCAGCAATTAGGGCAGTGGGCACAGTGTAATGTATATTTACACAATATTCACTGACACTCCAGACAGTTCAGTATGAGAAGCATGAGCTCATTAGTGGACCATTTTGTCCAGGGTAGTTTATCTGCTTCACAGCTGATCTGTAAAGGTGAAGCATTGTGATAAGGCAGGTGTATCTCTTCTAGCTATGAAGACAGGTCACTTAAGAGTAAACTGCTTTATGACAGACAGACGTGTTCACAGCAAACAGACCTTACCACACAGAGAAATACTTCAATGCGCAGGGAATGACTTGAAATCCAGTAAATTGAGTGGAAAATGACTGGATAAATATATTTAAGGAGTTTGGCCTCCAATCTGTGTTTCCAGAAAAGATTCATGAAGACTTGGATGTTTAAAATTATACATCAGAGACTCCAAAAAATATAATACAATCATGAGGAAAGTCAGCTGAAGACTAATTTTGAAAGTCAGTTACTGGAAGATCTATGGAAATCAAACATATTTATCATTTCTTAAAGTATGAAAATTATTTTCTTGGTATTGCCTGTGCAGAATGGGAACTATCCTCCAGTTACCAACACATCAGATTTTGCTGAGACCAAAAACAGGAAATAGCTGTTTCATATATACAGACTAATGGAAAAGAAGGGACAATATGTGTCTATAAAGTTTTTATACAACTTGTAAGAAATAAGCATGTTTCTTAGAAATGAAACAATAGTTTACACCAACAGACAGAAATGAAAAGAAATTCCACTAATTGAGATTTCTCATTATACAGATCAGAAAATGTTGTGTAATTGACAGAACTCCAAAAATGAGTTGGTGAACTTTACTCCAGTCGTAGTTTTCCTTCTAATCACACGTGAACTGTGAATTTAACTGAGATTCTAAATCAAAGAAAAAGTAAAGACTGAGGCAAAAAGGAAACATATTGGAATTGGAATGCAACAAGACGTCAGAAGACACGAGACATTGCTAGTAGTGACACAGGACACCGCTAGCTAACATGAGAAACAGATGTATTACTATTGCCACAAGAGAAAAAAAAAAAACTGTATGTCTTTCGGAGATTGCAGAAAAGTAATAGGCTTAATGTCAAGTAGACTAGGTTTTACCTATCAGTCATTAGCCTGTATGACAAAGAAAGGAACTAACCACCATAACTACTTAGATCTAACAATCACAACAAACAAGATTAAGAGGTTTTGTTATATATGGAAAATCACAGCCTACTATAATTCCCCACAAAGAATGACAATTAAAGAAAACACTGCGTACAACACATATATGTTCATCCTACCCACAATGCAAAATCTGTAACACCCACAAAAGCAGATGACTCATCATTGTTGGGGGGGACTACTAGAGGAAAATTACTTAGAAAGTCCTCCAGCTAAAAAATAAATCTGTCTCCGAGATTTTTGCCTTCTTGAGTATGCAAAGATTCCAGCTTTTTAGATCAGGTTCTCAAATTGAAAGGAAAATCCAATGCTCTTTCAAATAAAAGAAAAGGCTAATAAAGATTTATATTACATTTTTTCCTCATTTATGCCTAATATGTTACTCTATGAAACTTCTTTCAGCAATTCTCTCTCAAAGATTCTTGAACCTTTCACTAAT